AATGTATTACTTGGCTTTAATTTGAGTATGTTTTTCGCGTTGGAACGAATTATTTGGTTTTACATGTAATCGTATGGGAAAAGATGATCCACCTTACGACATTTTCATGATACGATCTCAGTTTCGGAACGGATTAATTTCGTATCCTGAGGTACCACTGTATATATTTTTTTTAAAAAAAGAAATTTATTTAATTTTCGTTACGTTCTGCGAGATATTATAAAAGAAAAAAAAAATTAATCGTTAAGTTAGTTTTCATATAAAACAATTTATTTTAATATAAAATTAAATATCGTGGGGTATTTTAAGACCGATAAAATTCAAACGGATTAGAAATGGCACAATATGGCGCTTTTCGTTGATGACGAGAAATAGTTATAAAGATAACAGTTAAGAGGCGCCCTCATCTAATAATGAGATGAACGACGAATAGTCTTCGGAATGGAGATTAGGAGAGACGAACTAATCTAACATGGCGAATCCGAGGAAATTTAGCGAAAAGATAGCTCTACACAATCAAAAGCAAGCTGAAGAAACAGCTGCTTTTGAACAAATAATGAGAGAAGTAATAGGAGCAACCAGGGTAAGTGCTTTGCATTAATAAACTTTTTCATTAAAAACCAGTTTTAATTAATCATGTTGATATTTTGTCTTCATTTTAAAATTTCTTAATTCAATGACAGAGAAATTTGTTTGAATTTCAAATTGCTTAACTTAAGAAGTAAAAGAATTTTTTTTTTTTAAATTCTGTAATTAAAAAAACATAGTTTTGTATAAATCAGATGAAATCATTTTTAATAATCAACTTGTTCAAATCTGTTTAATAATAATAGTAATTATAATAATAATATAAATATGTTGACAACACATGAATATGATCACACACATTTGTATATAGTTTTTGCTAGATTACAAAAAGATTGTATATAAATATAAATGTGTTTAAATATTTAAGTAATTTGATTAATTATAGATTATTTTTTATCATTGAAATTGTATTCTAACAAGAGAAAACAAATGTAAACACAAACTATTTGTTTACAGTATTTTTATTATTTTGTTATATATAAACAACAAATGTTTTTAATGAGCTAGGGTTTAAGATATTTCGTAAAATGCTATCTTTATATTTAAAGATATTTATTATAATTAACTTTTATTAAAAATAACATGTCATACTGAAATTAATTAGATTTATTGATAAAAAAAATATATATATTTAAAACTTTTATATTGTAAGATTAAAAATTATAATAAGAGAATGAAAAGCGTTTATTGCATTCGGAATTAAGAAAAGATAGGATTATGCGGTACCTAATTTTGTTTATAGGAATTAAATAATTGTTATAATTTTTAAACATTTAAATTTATTATTATTATTATTATTGAGGTTATTATTAAATTTATTTTAAAGGAAAATGAAATCTTGAAGTGTAAGGTCACATTCAGATTATGTGAATGTTTTATGTTAATACACATTACAGTGGTACCTCAGGATACGAAATTAATCCGTTCCGAAAATGAGATCGTATCATGAAAATGTCGTAAGGTGGATCATCTTTTCCCATACGATTACATGTAAAACCAAATAATTCGTTCCAACGCGAAAAACATACTCAAATTAAAGCCAAGTAATACATTAAAAAAAATAACTGTAGTAAGAAAAACAAATGAAAAATGCGAACTAATGTAACGTCGTATGGTGAGTTTTTGTTCGTATCGTG